AACTATCAAAACGCCTGCCATTTGATATAAATAAATAAACCTCTTTAAAGCTGTACGCAAATAAGCTCAAAAGACAATGTCTGAGAACTTTGTTAAATTCATAGCAAACACAGCGTGCTGGTGTGATGGATTGGAAGTATTTTCGACAGGTAACCATTCCAGAATCAGCGTAAAAATTTTATTCAACTGAATCATGAAAGTCTGCTTCTAAATGTGGCTAATGGCTTTTGTCTACCAAAAAAAACAATGAGGCCCAAATTAAATTTCCCATATTGAGAATTAACTTTGAACATTTTAAACGAGAGAATTGCGCTGGCTGCTCAAACTTTATGTTGGTCATATACTTTCTTTAAAATCAATGAACGAATGAGAAATTAATAAACCGACTATTAACAGGCCTCCATGATCGTGCGTGTAAAACCATGACTAGGGATGTATATCGTGTCTGCAAACTAGGTTACATCATGATACTTTGGTCACTAGGATGGTTATGCTGCTTAAAAGCCCAAACCACCTTTAATAAACAAATTCGAAACACAATTAAACCATAAAATATTGCAATCAATATCTAAAAACTGTCGTTACGTAGCCGCATCCAAAATATTCGTTTGGAACAGCTGAAAAGGATTCATAGAATTTTTAACCTATAAAAGCAGTACTAAAAGCAAACAACTCATTCTGAAGGGTGATTTCACGAGAAACCGGATTGACTGCATAATGGGAGAAAGTAGATGGACCCCCCTAATTATCCCAGTGGGAGGGATGAATCACCGGCGAAATTTCCAAAAGGCATTTTGTGATAAAGGAACAAAATGGGGTGAGGGGAAAAGGAGAATTTATGTACAACTTAACAATATTCTGATCAAGTGCACTTCGACGAGGAAGAGAATTCTGGCAAAATTCTACCATAAAGACAGCAACGACCACAAAAAGAGAACAAAAGAAACAAAAGTTAATGCCATAAAATTGAAGTAGAAATTACAAATCAACACATAAAATAAACCGAATTCCTTCAAAATAGTTCCATTCTTCGAGAAATCCTGAAACAACAATCGCTTGGAATTTAAACAATATATACCGTACAGCCAACACCCACAGGATATAACATCGAGTGCGAACCTCTGAAAGCATCTCATTTAAAAATTAGATAAGAACTGTTGAATCTGACTGAAAAATTAAAAATTTTTCCTGACGTAGTTCCTCGAATTTCTCAATCGATCTCCAATAACCATCGAGCATAGAGGAGTGGGATCAAATTCTCACAACTTATTTATAGGTCAAAAATGGCCAGTTAGTTTGACCATGATTCCCATTCGGTGGATAAGGATGGATATCGAATGAAATAACACATATGAGTTTTCAGTTCGATAGCGTCTTTTCTTCTCTTCCCTTTGACCGCAATTCCACAAGCAATATTCACAGTTAAAGAGACTACATAACATGAAATCGAGACTATGGACCCATTATAACAAATCCTTAAAGACGCTGACAAAAATACTCACCAGATGCAGCATCACAATTGATCGGCAAAAGACCCAGGGAGGAAGACGATGAGGCAGAAAGAATTGTGGGAGCACCAGAGATAGATTGGTTGTGATCGAAGAGACTCAGTGCATCACCACCACCCAGCATGCTACCGCCGCCGTTCATCAGCGAGTCAGCACCGGTCTACAGACGAAAAGATGACTGGTTAACACACCATATATTCTCAAACCATGGCATTTGACTGTTGAGTATGAATAAACAAGAGATTATGTCAGTATAATATTTCCGAGGTTAAGCCATAGAGCAAGAGAGAGGGAGAGAGAGAGAGCAAGCCGAGTTTCTAGAGAAAATAATCACCACAGTGCAAACGGTAATAGTTGAGAAGGCATGTTAAAGTGCATTCAGAATTGCTTCTGGTGCGATTAGTTTTACTTTAAAGGCGATATTACCTTCTTTCGGCGAAAAGTACTACAACCATCCATTATTAGAGAATCGGAGGCGATCTATATTTGTAAAGAGGAAAATAAATATATCAAGAAGGATATATTATATGCATTAAAAATTAAAGCACAGCCAATGAGGATTATATTACTGACAGACCTAAGAAATTGGAAATCCACTTATTATATTTAAGGTGATTTTTCCACTGCGTACGTTTTTATCTATCTCGCTTAAGGTTCTTGATATCCTAACCTATACACTAGACACTTCCCATCTACTCAGTCATTAGGGATGTCTGTTAAAGCACAGACCAACTAATAGACACATGCATTCCGCCTACTTTCCATTGTTACACAACTCTGAGATGTAGACCTTGAGAAATCAAAGGTTTTACAGAACTTCTGGGGGGAGTTTTAGTTAGCAATAGGAAAGAGCAATTGCGCTCAAAAACAGGTGCTCTGAAAGCATAGAAGAATTCAAATTTTCCGCCTCCAAATCCGGATAGGTGAAGTATGGTATTTGAAGTCATTACTGTTCTAAAGAATAATCTCCTCCCTAAGAAGGAGAAAAAAACGCCAGCTTATTTTTCATGAGAAAATATCGACGAACATGAATGAATTAGTACCCTATCATGACATTTGAAGAAAAAGCCACTACAGTAGGTGCATTCCAATTTCCTCTTTGCCATGACTCACTTTAAGAAGGGAGGAATGTCAACTGTCAATAGATAAAAATTAGGCGTAAGTATATTTTGAAGAAATTCAGAAACGAAAAAAAGATTCCTAGGAATTCCCAATTGGAGGATAGTGACCATGAGTGCACTGAATTTGAAATATGAATATTGATTTTCTTATTCAGACACCGAGAGAGAAGAAAAAACAATCGGAGAAAAATGGGAATAGAGAAAAATTCGTAAATGGTTTTTTATTGAATATCATGCACCAAAAGGCCTTAACGAGCTATTTTCTTTTAAATAAATTAACTAAATGCTGCCTAGTTACACTTTCCCTTGCATGTACGAAATCTTGGCAAGTGTACTGGAGAAAATATTTTCAATTAACAGTTTGGCTATCACATACACGCATTAAATAAATTAATTCCAGGGAAAAAAACATAGGCAATAACAGTGGCAATTAATAATTAATGGATGAAGAAGAAATCGGAAAACATTGGACAACCGGTTAATTAAAATGCATAATTATTAATTGGGAGATGTTTAAAGATTACGGGAAACCAATCCACTCATAGATAAGCTAGTAACTCAAGCAACATTCAACGGGACTTGTAAAACAGAAAAAGGCAAAAAATACGAAAAGCTAAAAAAGATATCCAGATGTTAGATCTTGAGTAGCTCATGGAATTCCACTGGCATAAAACTTGCAAAAACTCGCCCGTAAGTGAAGACTTTCACGCAATAAACAACACTTTACCATTATGGATCTTATATTTACTTTATAAACAAATACTGACTTCTATAATTCGATAATTGCAATATAAGGAGTGAGAGAGAAAGAGTACAGGAGTACACACAAATGGTTTCAAATAATCGACAGCATCTATTAGCAAACAAAAACTCTAAGTTCCGAGACCGATAGCACAACAAGAATGTCGTTGTTTAGCTTAGATAAAACGAATCTAAATGGTTTAAGTACTGATTCAAATGGTGTCCTTAATCCGGTTTATAAGTAACAATAGCTCTCACTGCCAGGCAATCAATATTACACCAAGCTTGAACTTGGGACCAATTCTGCTCACACTGCGGATAGCGATGAGATCAGTGAACTTGATATCACTAGATCACTTTCTTTTCCGTTGGCAATAACTTGTTTCAACTACCTATTCTTAAGATAGCTGATGTGCAAACATGGTCAAGCTGGTTAACATGTGATGTGGATAATAATATTTTCAATTTTATTTCTGAAAATCAGACGCTACAGTCTGGAAATTAAAGTAGCAAATCTTGTTACAATAACGTTCTCAAACACCTTACTCTAAATGAGATAGCTTGAATATTGGAGACCCATGATGAAACAAAACCAATATGGGCCAGTTGGACTTTCTTCTTGCCTTCTCGGATTATCGCATTTGTGCTTTTTTCAATCTGTGTCCAAGTAAAAAGAACCAAAGGTATTGGTCATCAAACAATATAGTGTAATGATGGATGGTAATAGTAAAAAAGGAGCGGATGTGGAAAGTAAGGATGCGTGCTTTACTTCTTAGTTGGATCTTATATAAGCTACGACCTCCGCTATTCTTACAATACGCACCTACCATTTATGGGGAAAAGACGTAAAAAACGAGGTAGTTTTCAGTAAAAAATTCACTGATAAATATTTCGTGAAGACATATCTTTTACGTCATCCTACACACGCATTTAAACGAGAAGTCCACGGGCTTTGAGGTAGCAGAAGATTTGACTTCTTAGAATATCATACTAAATGTTCACGACATAACTATGGTGAGGTAAATCGCGTTGCATCAAATAATACCTTTGGAATATTAAAGGAACTAACGAGAGAAAAGGAATAGGTAAAGTGGAATGACCAAGTTGATGCGCAAATGTTAATATTCCTCACATTAGAGGGTGAAAAAGAGAAATTATATCCCCCCAGACGCGATGAAGGTATTAGAACCAGCCCTCATGAATCTGAGACTATTTTGACACGCGCAGCCTAGTACTGATGACCATTGGTTTAATTTCCATAAATACGTGTTATTGTGAAAATGTATATTTTCGATAACTTCTAAATCTCTTTAAATGAAAACCAAGTCGACTTTGTTCACATAAGATAATAAATACGCTATCAGAATTGCCAAGATGTAAAAACATGGGCGGTGGCGCCACTTCAATCTGCATAAATAAAGAGATATTATTTGATCGCTGCAAGCGCGATTCCAAAATTGCTCAACTAAGAGTTAATAAAACAACTGCATGGAAAAAGTCGCCAATTATATGGACGATAAGAAAGATATTAGGACGAGCGAAAGGCTGTATAGGCACTCAAACTTCCGAGGAAAAAAGAGCATCACCTATTTCACCAACATGTCATTCAATCCACAGTGAGACTATTCAACTATAACTAATGTTCCTAGTTCTGGGGTGTGCGATAGACTCACCTCCACGTGGTGCACCCTGGGCAACGTATACCCATACGCAATATATGTCTACAAATCGGCAGTTGATTTCTGACTTCAAACTACCATCACCCCACTGTATGTCATATTCGACCCCTTCCATAGTACTCACCTCAACTTTTTTCTACCTTTGTGTCTGTCTCTTTTACATCTTTGAAAC